AATGGTAGGGCCACTGCACAGAGAAAATGGAGAAATTCTAACAGGGGATAGAGAAAAGGCATAACTCCTCAACAACTTCTTTGCCTTAGTCTTCTCACAAAAGGAAAAGAGTGTTTACCCTGAGGAAAATGGAGCAGAGGACACAATAGGGGAAATGCAGCACAGAATAAGTAAAGAGGTAGTAGAGGAATACCTGGTTAATCTAAATGAATTTAAGTCTCCAGGACCAGATGAACTACATCCAAGGATATTAAAAGAACTGGCAGATGTAATCTCAGAGCCACTGACAATAATCTTTCAGAACTCCTGGAAAACAGGAGAAGTCCCAGCAAACTGGAGGAGGGCATCTAATGTCATCGGGGGGAGAGGCAATAGGCACAGCACCATCGGGTCTAGACTAAGAAGAAGAGCCCATACCTTTTAAGGGGTGGGTGGGTTTTGGGATTTTTAGGTTCTGTTTACATTGTATCAACATATCTTTATGTAAATTTTAATGTTGTAAACCGCCCCGATTGAGAGGGCCGGGATATAAATTATTATTATTATTATTATTGACCATGGAAGAGCTACATAAATTCAACCTAGACAATGAGCAAATCAAAATAGTTAAAGACTCCCCATATTTTGGATCAAACATTGATCAGAACAGAGACTGAAGTAAAAAAAAAATCAGAAGAAGAGAAGGAATAGGAAGGGCAGCCATGAAGGAACTAGACAAGATCCTAAAGTATAAAGATATACAACTGAACACCAAGGTTAGAATAGTTCAAGCCATTTTATTCCCCATCACCATGTATAGATGCGAGAGCTGAACAGTGAAGAATGCTGATAGAAAGAAAATAATTTGTGACGTGGTGCTGGAGAGGAGGGCTAAGGATACAGTGGAAGGCTGAAAAGACAAACAAATGGATCTTTGAATAGATTAAACCTGAACTCTCTCTGGAAGCATAGATAATGAAACTGAGGCCATCATACATTGGCCACATCATGGCACGACATGACTCACTAGAAAAAATGGAATGTATGGGTCACATGTTGTCCATCTCTATAAAATGCCCCCTTTTTTGGTGAAAAGCAGAGTCAAAGGGCCTAAGCAGACAGGCGGCCATGGGCCACCCTGGGAAGGTGCGCCGCGGGACCGAGGCATCCCCATGCCTTGATCCAGCGGCGCACCATCGGCGCCCCTGGAAAGGAGCGCTAAAATAGTGCTCCTTTCATATATCACCGAAAGTGTGCTGCAAAAGGTTGCGGCGTACTTTTGCTGACTTTTCTGCCGCAGCGTGTCCGGATGCTGTGGCGGGAAGTCCTCCTCAGAGCGCCAGCCGTACGGAGGGCCGGCGGCTCCGAGGATGACCTCAGGAGGGGGAGGGGGCACCAAGTGTGCGGCTGCCCCTCCCCTTCCCTGCGCCAAGGACGACCTATTAAGCCGTCTGCTTAGGCCCCAAGTGATATGAAGCTGGACAAGGTGCAGTGTGTGCAGAGGAGGGCAACCAAAATGGTGAAAGATCTGTAAACCACTAAGCTCTCTGATGAGCGACAGAGAGGAGGAAATTAAAAAGTAATATGATAGCCCTGTTTAAGTATTTGAAGGGGTGTCATATTGAGGATGGAGCAAGCTTGTTTTCTGTTGCTCCAGAGAATAGGACCTTGAGTAACAGAGTCAAATTACAGGAAAAGTGATTCCACCTAAATTTCAGGATAAACTTCTTGACAGAAAGAGATGTTCGACAGTGGAAGACACTCTCTCGGAGAGTGGTGGAGTCATCTCCTTTGGAGACTGTTTTTAAACAGAGGCTGAATGGCCATCTGCTGGGGGTGCTTGGATTGTGTCTCCCTGCACGGCAGAATGGGGTAGGACTGGATGTCCCCTTGGGATTCCTTTCCAAGTCTAGGATTCTATGATTATTCATCTACAGGGTTGCCATGAATTGGGGCTGACTTGAGGGCAGTTAACAACAGCAACAAAGCCCCTTTATTTTGAAGGCCTTTGCTGCCACTGTATTGGTGGTACAGCAGCAGTACAAAGTCTCATATCTCTATATGAAAACAAGGCACATGAAGAGCAAGCATCTTGTTTTAATATAAAAACAAGATTTATAGTACTGCCAGATTTTGCTGGTGTGCAGCCTCTGTGCAGCCACAATAGGTTCTCTCTTTGTTGGTGAATTTTGTTCCACAGTTGCCCACCCCCATAAGTGAATAATAATAATAATAATAATAATAATAATAATAATAATAATAATAATAAACATTTATAACGCCCTTTCCACTAAAG